GACAGCCTTACCAAAATGTGGCAGCTGTTAGCACTCATCACCACCTTATCAACTTTCGAATGCCAACACCTCTTATAAGGAGTGAATACGAAGAGAAGTTTTAATTTACTATCAGCTTCTGGATAAGACAGAATCAGCATAGTTCCTGAGGCCTACCAAAAACGCTCAATTTGGACTGAAAGTGAATGAATCGTTGAAATGAAAAAAAAAAAAAAAAAACGCAGAGAGACGGAAAGATCAGACATCAGGTATTGCCGAGACATCGAAATGTGAAGGGGCTGGAGCAGCCCATTTTGTGAGGAAAGATTAAATCATACGAAATGCCTAAAGTCAAGAAAAATAAATGATTGTGTTGAGAAGTAACAAACCTTTCAACTGCATGATTCCATCCGCTCTGAGTTTTTCTAATTCCAGGATTTTATCATTTAAATTAATACATCCTGCAAACCAGTTAAGTGATGGGGGAAAAAAACGATGTGATATTGCCTATTCCAAACTCCCTCGCCAACGCATTCTAAAATCAAAAACTCAACAGATTCAATAGCGAAGAAATGCGAAACTTTTTTTACAAAAATGAACCTGTAATAGCATCCAGGAGCTGTTCCAGTTCTGCTTTTTTAGTAACTTGATAAACCTTCTTTAAAAGTGAATGGAGATATTCTTGTCGCCACGATGCTACTCCCGCTGCCATAAGCTGCTGATTGCATATGCTAGTTCGTCGAGGGTCATCAATTTTCTGTAAATTATTGCATATTTTCACAACAAAATCTTATCAGTTTTTACTAAATTACCCAGATTTCGTGAAAATGGTCAGCAAATCTTTGAAGAAGAGATAACAGAAAAACGCCATTTCGCCTTGAAGCTTTCGGAGATACCAATCATTCATAGTAAATGCACATGCTTGACTAATTTGATTCACATGCGTTTCATAGTGTATTTTGATACTGCTTACATTGTTACATCGGAAAATTGTAGATGAATCTTACAAGCAGAATTTCAGCGAAATGCACAGGCACATGAGTCATTTAGAAGATGAATTTTTGCCAAAATTTCGTATTTTCCTATTCAACTTGACACTTTCCAATGCAAAATTAATATTCGCCTTGCCCTTCTCCAAGTTTTTAGCCTCTTAATCCAGCCCGACGAGAATAAATACATAGATATGACAATCGGAGAAAAAGCAGACGAGCACTACCGGCCCACGGTGCAATTGCTCGTATCAAATAACGCGCTTTCAGGAATTTTCACTACAGTTATGCATCCCAATAAAAATTTGACCAATTCAAGTACCTTGATTTTGTGAAAAAATTTGTTGACAAACTCGTACTCCCTCGCTGTTGCTTTCTTCGCCTTTCGTTGCTTCAGCGTTCGGTTATATTTTTGGATCTTCGCAATTTTAACGGCTAAATTTAGAGCGTAAATTGAACGACCAATAAATAACCAAAATGTTAGTCAAAGACAGAGGCACGACAAAAACTGACCGGTCTCGAATGCGCTGTCCTCATCAGAGCCAAGTCTAGCTTGCGCCATTAAGTGGCTCACCAACATTTCTGCGCTGTTGTTAAATTCCTAAAAATAAAGATACCAAAGGGATGAAATTTGAAGCTAACAACAGACGAAAGAACGCTGGATCAGCGCAACCAAGACTACCAGGACCGCTTAAACAGCAGAAGTATGGGTCTAATTTTAGTGACAGAACTGAGATGCATCGGTGTGCCAGGAGCAGCTATGCCAAGCCTTTAATCTGCGGGGAAGAAATCTGCTACCAATTGCAGGTGCTGGAATGTCGATATGCGATGCAACATAAGCGCTCTTCCCCGTAATTTAAGCTCTGCATATTCTAAACCGTAGCTACTTTCCGCCGGCACAAACAGTTCTCAAATTCGTCCGTCAGTCTCTGGCTAATGCCTGCAAAGGAGACGGTAAATCACGTTTAGGGCTCTACCTTTTCCCATGTTTCTTCAACAGTAGTTTTGCAGTAGTGGCAGGGCATTTCTAACATTTAAACTTAAAGAAACTGGAAAAAAGACATAGCCGAAAAAAAGCAAATGAAAAACCTTACCTATAGAAATACGTGGTCCAAAGAATATGATTACAAAGCAAGCTCCTGCCTTGGATAAAATTTACTCACCCATTCGAAGTCATCCCTTTCTGGCATATATGCCAACAGCTGCAAGTCGTCCTCTTTCAGTTTCGAACGTTCTTCAGCGCCCAATGGTAACAGTGGAAAATTGGCATGGAACTGTCCCTGATGTCTTCGCAATAGCATTTCTTTTGCATCGCTGCTTACTGTTATTTTGAGTTTTTCTACACATTCTTCCTAAACTTCAGGAATTGACGTACCTTCAGAAAAATCAATTTTTTTAAGGAAAAAGGGACAAATCAGATTGCACAAAAAAATGCCGTCCATCAGACTGAAATGCTCGACTGCCGTACTTACATACATTACCTTCGAGAAACTTTGTTTCGTACCATCGGTCTTTCGCCAATCACTGCCAACACGCTTCAGGCGCAATACTGGCTTCTTATCAGAAGCATCAACCACTTCTAAATATCGTACCTTTAAATTATCAAATCATGAACAAATAGAACATTGTGCTTAGCGGACAAACCCGGGAGGACCGCTCCCCAATCACAAGCTGCTAGTGGAATGTCTCAATTGCTTGGAAATCTAAATACCGTTGAGAATGTCTTTTGCAAATACTCTAGCAAGAAACCAGTACAGTACCACACAAAATAATGATGTTGGAGGGGAATTATGAAGAAAAAACTGTGGTCCATAAGTGAACTGTGGTATTAGGCACCGAAGAAAGTACCACTCGAGTGCCTCACAACAAATACGTCGACATAGTCCTGGCGTAGGCAGCCTTCGCTCGGCAAAAGAAACAGTTTTGTAAAAATGCATTTCATTTATGGATTACCAGTTGCACGATATTCTGGACTCCGTAAGCCAGAAGATTTTCGATTTTCATGCACATCGTGGCTAGGCCCAGCTTCATTCCAGCAATCATGCTTATAGCTGCTGCTGCTGCTGCTGCTACTTGTTTTACTTCCTTCATCATCCTAAGAATAATATACGATTGTGGCGCATACTTTTCATACCAACATATAAAACACCATAAAAGCTTTTTTCCTTTATGAACAAAATGAAATTTTATTCATTATTTTCGCAGCGAGTGAGAAAAGCACAGTGCTACTCTCATGCTAACAACCCAGAATTTGGCATCATCGGTAAGATAAACCAGCTC